ATTGTCATTATTGTTTGAAAGAAATCTCAGTATTTATAAAATAAACAAATAACTTCATGGCTGGTTCGCTTGTACGATTTTTATTCACTTGTTGTGAAGAATCGCAAACTCACTCGCTCGGAGACTCGCTCGTTCGTTTGCGATTCTTCACAACTCTTGAATAAAAATCGTACGCACTCACCAACCATGAAGTAATCTATATAATAGAGCCTCTTAGTGTCTCATATCGAAGTTAGGGTTTTCTAGAGAATAAAATCAGTTTGAATTGAGAAGAATACCTTTTTTTATCGTTTATTGTGCTGCTCGAACTAATTTGCACTTAATTAACGCACTAGTTACTTTCCATAATTTTTGCTATATAATTAAATCCTGTTTGTTTTGAAAGCAGTCATGCCCTTCCACATTCAACCAACACACCAACCAACCAACCGCATTCACTGTCCGTTGTGACTGATTCCGGTTCAAATTTGTTCCGTCAACAAATTCCGGACGCAAAATTGACAAGATTGTAGCAAATTTAATGTGGATTAGTAAAGTCATTAGTTTTTGTATTTCATTCCTCTTTTCCTCCTCATCAGGCCGCCAAAAACCAGCTTTCTAAGCATTGTACAATTCTTTTCGTTCCCTAAAGAACCACAAGTAAGAGAAAATACTTCCTTTCAATATTATTATGGCAAAAGGTAAAAATTATCTCCACATAAATTAAAAAAAAAAACATTACAAACCCTAGCTATAAAATAAGCACTTCGTGTTATCCGAGCCGCTCGATCCTTACCAATGAGACCTCAAGCAATATTCCCTCAATACGGCTTAGGATTTGTCGGGCTGCAGATGGTGGTGTAAGAACAAGTTTTTTTGAATGGTTTTTCATCAGCTGGTTTTTCCAGCCAGCTAAGCATAAATGGTCACAATGCATACGGGAATTAAAGCTGGAAAAAACGGCTACGACTACAATTAACCCAATCACGGCGCGCGTTATTTCGTAAAAAGCCCTAGCTACAATGATATAACAAATGATGGTGATATATAGAACTGAGTGGACAACAATTCGGTCTGTAAACCGTGAGAGCTAAATTTACAGGGACAAAAGCTTTATAAACATCTGCTTTTTTCATTCATTCATTAATAAAGACTATTACCTGCATTCATCGTCATTGTTGTCTTGATTATAATTCGGCGACACGAAGTACTTTTGCCAATTAATCTTATCGATTTATCATCTCTCTGACAAATTTCACCAGGAAAAAAGCCATCACTGAAAGGTTTTAGGAATATAACAATACTATAGGGAGGTTAGCTGATGCTATGCCACTAAAAAAGGAATGTCACCGTCGCCAGGGAAACTACTCAGGCAAGCGTGGTGCAGAGGATTTTTGCAAGGTAGGAAGCTTCCAGTCTCATAGTCAGCAAAACTGTGTGGTAATCCCACTTTGAACCAGGACTGGGAATGCTTTAGTATTTCTCTTCCGTACCGATTCCTTGCGTACAAACCAGGACTATACTTCGTATCAACCCAGTTACCCCGAATGCTTGCTTTGGTGAACGTTTCATGCTTTTGCAGTTCTGTTGGAAGATACACAGTGTTTGACATAGCAGTCGTGCCAAATACTTCAATATAAAATCCGTTGAAGTTAACTTTCACATATCCGTCATACATGTATTTTTTTCCGTCAAGCATTGGTGTTTCATACTCGGTTAGGCTGTAACCATTTTTCCGGAAATGTTCTATTGTCTCTTTTTTGTTAAAAATTTCGATATCTGTGGACAATACGAAGAAATCGCCATCAATGTCCCAAGGAATAAGGCCTTTGAACTTAACACCGCCTAATACTGAACCACTATCCAGCTCGAATCTGACATTGTGCTCATCGGCAAACTTTTGGAAAAAAGACACGGCTTCTTTATAGAGTTCCTGACAGCAAACTGGGAGTAAACCGCTCTGGGCATTGCATGTAAAACCAATATCTTGACAAGTAAAGGAATGTTTGACTCCCTGGGGTTGTAACACCCGATTAAGCTCCCACTTTTTAGCCAATGGTGTCCACACCTTCTTATCAGTTCTTTTGGAATATGAATGGTAATCTCTAGTGAAATACATAGCATCTGGACATGCCATGATCAGGGCGCCATCTTGAACAACGCTTAAAAACCAATCTTCGAACACAACCTCATCTGGAAGGTTCTCGTCAAGCTTCAACAGACTTGTTTTAGTAACGAAAGGACCCTGCAGATAATCACAGAACATGCACTCATTCTTTGAGTGATAATAGCCTTCCTGGTATTCCAGGACGTAGTTCTTTAGCTTAGTCTGCACACAGCCAGCTTTCCAGTGACCCGAGACATTACGGTATGCTCCGCCTGCAACTGCAACATTTGGTATCCGACTCACCACACGAATTTGCCGCTCAAGCTGGGTGAGCCATGTAAAGTGGAAAATGTCACGTGCAACGAGTACATAAGGAGTTGAGGTTTTTGTTATAAGTGTGTTCCACGCTTTGCTTAGCTTTGTATCGTCCAGCCTAACGACATCAATGCTTTTATACTTTTCGGCAACCTTTTTCATCTCGGTACTTCTTGTTGCCAAATGAACCTGAACTGTTGGGTACGTCTCGGTAATCCCTTTTAAAACATTCTCAACGTGGTTCTCATCTTCCTTGGGATATGCCACAGTATTGACTAAAATACTTATCACAGAACGAATTGGTTTAGCATTGGTACAGTTGGTGATGTACCAGCCCTTCTTGGCGTAGAGAGGATAGCCAGATTTACCCCCTTGGTACCCCTCTGGGCACACATCCACGCTACCATCTTTGCTGACTGCTTCGTTGGTTAAACTCGGTTGTCGTTTGTTGTCCAGGCGATGAACAATTTCTCCTAATTTCTGAACCAATCTTGCTGAGGGTGCTAGTTTATGCATAAGTAATTTTTGCATTTCCAGGTGGATTTCATTCAGTTCCGTTTTGATGCTTTCTTTAAACAAACTATTGACTTCAGACGAGTTTTGGTCACAGCTGTACAGAAATAAATTAAACATTAAATTGGTGATTTTTCTTACCGAGATCTGCGACCATTTAATCATTAATCATCCGCGCTGCGCTTTGTCACGTGCTAGGCATATATATTATAGGTATATTATAGACGATGTGACTGTTAACTGTTTACATTTCCAAATGGATACATTGGGATCTTGCGTCTCAAAACAAACAACACTGTTTTGTAATGCTTTGTGCGTGGTTAAATGGGATGTACTAGCAAAGCATTTTGCTGGCATGATTGCCGCAAAAACGTTAGCCGTCTTAGTCTCTTCAACACACCATGCCTTGCCTCCATTACAAAAGGCTCAAGAAAAACGGGTGCCACCGAAACAGAATGACGACTGAGAAAACGCCCTGTAAGACTTTTAATCACCATGGACTTTTGAATCAAATTCGATTGTTGGATCGAAGTCCAATTTTGTTATTGAAGTCCATGATGTCCCTTTAAAATGGAAGGAGGCATCATGAGTCGTGATGTATACAGCAGTGCTCATTTTTTCCTCCTTCCTTCGCTCCGAGAAATAGGGAACTTAAGCAATGACGACGGCAACGCCCGAAGACGACGCCTACTGAAAAATAAATTTAGACATAGTATCACCTATCACGAAAATACCAAATTAAAATACAAAAAATTAGCCACTATCGTTCGCGTTCTCCAAACTACGCAGAACTTGGTCTTTTCACGTTGTTGTTTTGCTGACCGGGACGGCTAAGAAATATGCAAAGATTTATGACCCACGAGCGCAGCCATTGTTCTGCTCTGGTTTGCTTAAAGTTCATTAATAACATTATAAGGCGGAAACAGTCACGGTTGTAAGGTTATACGAACAGACAAAATAATTAATCGACTTCAACCATACCTTTTTAAATGGGTCTTCAATAAAACCATTGACAAGATTACTAGAAGAAAGAGCAAGCCGAAGGAGTACAAATTACATCTCCTGTAAGGGGACATGGCCATCTTCTTACCTGCTTATCTGTGGGAAAAGAATGCAATAAGTAGATGGACACAGCCAATCATCCATTGGATGGGATCCTATATATCTTGCCATCGTATTTAAATTCCAATCTCGGAAATGTACTTCTAGTTTCTGATTGGTTTACTGAATTTGTTTTATCACGCATTCCGTGGAAAATGAGTGCGGTAGCTCTTGATTGGTGAAGCAAGACTTTTCTGGGAAACCATTGTCAAAACAAAACATCAAAGTATGGCGTTTCGTTACGGACAAAATATCCACATGATAAAATATGAAGTGGAAAACACAAACATTCTTCCAAAAAGAGTAAATCAGTCCAATTGTATAAATACTAAGTCGAAAATACCAAAAAGTCTATCAAAATAACGAAAATTCGAGGTCGAAAAAATTAAATATGAAGTTGACAGAGATGAAAATTGAACTTGAGAATGTAAAGAAAAAGAACAACTTAAAATCCAGGTCGAAAATAAACACGAAGTCCAATAAAAAACACGAAGTCGAGGAAAAAAAATTCCAACACCAAGTCGAGAGCGCGACTGAATGCATAGATTGCGGGCTCACAATGGGTGGCTTGCGAGCGATGACCTGTGAGATCACGACTGACGCGACCCTCGTGACCTTTTTGCGCGGGAAATTATCCGGCGTTGTCCCGGCGAAGATGATTCAAATGGTTGGCTGGCCAAACACGACTCCTATTCTCAAGATAGAGTTAGCCAATGGCGTAACGTACTTTTCGATCCTTATTTGTTTGAAGCTCGACCTCGTTATTTTGTGCTTCTTTGACGGCATTTTTTTCTAGATTTCTAAGCACTCGATGGCTAATCTGAAGTGTGGCGCTGTTTGTTACTGGCCTCCACGACTCCCGCTCCTTTAACTACGTAGAGGACACAGTATGGACCAGTATGGTTAGGGCTCGTTTATATAGTCCCAGGCCCGAGACAACTCTCCCCACGAATATCCCTGGCCGAGCTAACTTTACACTTACTTCTTTGAAAACTTCAACCAACCGTTTACATGTGGATTGCGAACCTGTCTCGGGAGGCGAGACAACACGGATGTGCGAATTGTCCAGGGCAACTTTTTATAGGACAACTTGTTGTTGACAGAAGATTCAGTGTCTTTACGTCTGTCGTTTTCAAAAAAAGAAATGAAAATAATTAAATAAATAACAATAGGGAGTAAATATCTTATAGGATTTCTCGATCGTTACATCGGCCGATATATTAGGGACCTTACGCAAAATACGACGGCAACGGTAACGAGACCGTCACAAAACAAAAGGTTTAATGAGAAAAGCAATAGCTGTGCACGCGCGTTATAATTCTTGGTACATTTCTTTACCGTCCTCTGCAAAGCAGCAATAGGGACCTTACGCAAAACGCGACGGCAACGGCAACGAGAACGTCACCAAACAAAAGGTCTAATGAGCAAAACAATGGCTGTGCACGTGCATTATAATTCTAGGTACATTTCTTTGCCTTCCTCTGCAAAACAGAAACGTGAAATGACCAAATTCTGCGTTGTCTGGAGAACGTGAACCACAACGGCAAATTTTTCGTATTTCTATTTGGAACTGAACGCATTCATAGCATATTCAGCAGGGGCAAGTTTTAATACCGACAGACACACTGAAAAGTTCCAAATAAATGCGAAATTTCAAAGTAAAATAGAAAATTTTTACTAGGCGTCGTCCTCGTCGTCGCCGTCTTATATGCGTAAGGTCCCCAATGTGAAATCACCAAATTCGCCATTTCCACATCCCTCATGATACACCTTGTTTGCCCCCCAAAATTTTGCATAAGCGTTGTCTTCAGATTCCCTTGGGACGACTGTAATACCCAGGAGATATGAGAAACAAAGGTTATGCAGAATTTTGGGGAGCAAACAAGGTGTATTATGGGGGATTTGGAAATGGCGAATTCTGCGTTGTCTGGAGAACGTGAACCACAAAGGCTAATTTTTCGTATTTCTATTTGGAATTGAACGCATTCGTAGCATATTAAGCAGGGGCAAGTTTTAATACCGACAGACACACTGAATAGTTCCAAATAAATGCGAAATTCCAAAGTAAAATAGAAACAAATTTTCTACTTGACGTCGTCCTCGCCGACGCCGTCGTGTATGCGTAAGGTCCCTCGTTCGTTATAGCGACCGATACTCATCCGATACTCCCAGTCGACATAACAAAGGATAGTCGACCATACTCGGTCGAAAGTCGATCATGTGCGAGAGTCCACCGCTGGTGTCGGCAGATGTGTGGTCCGCGATTTTGTCGGTGGCTTATCGGTCAACTATCGGTTGCGTATCTGTCGGGTATTGGTCGCGTATCGGGTAACTTTCGGTTGCATGACTGTCCGATTACACGTGTCAGATTACAGCCAACTGTCCGATTACACTGACCGCCTACAACTTTGCAGATTAATTAGAGCAAAATACGGCAGTTTAAATTTGAGCCGTTAGGTAACGTGATGGGATCTGTGTCTTCTCGGTCTAGTAAAAAAGGTATTTCATTTAAAAGTACAAACTGAATAACATGGGCGAAAGAATACAACTTTTCCGTACGCCTTTCTGGTAGTCTTAAAATTCTGTCCTTTTAACAGCGCACTTTGGATACAGGTTTTAATTAAAACGTAAAATTCTCCACCAATCTTATAATGTAAGAGTTTGTAAAACTGACCGTCATGCCAGACTGAATCAAAAGCTTTCTTGAAGCCAATAAAACAGGTTTACAATTTATCATTGATACTGTGGCTGACATTTTTGTCCACTAATGTCCTTAGATTGAAAATGTGATCCGACGTGCGATGATTTGGTAAGAAACCAATTTGAGCTCGATGTAACATGTTTTGTTGAAGTACATGTTTTTCAACCTGTCATTCAGCAGGCGGGAAAAAACTTAACTGTCCTGACGTCAATGCAAGTTAACAGGAAAGGTATAGCCGGTTTTCACATGACGTCGCTAAAATTCAAACTACAAAACTATTGATCTTCCTGAGATTTTACTTTAAGGTTACAGTATACCTTCAGGGGTGTCTTGCGTCCAAGGGATGTAGCGCGTGCAGTTTAAGCTGTGGATACCTAAACCCCAATATCAAATTAAAGCTTATAGAGCTGGCTATTAAACTACGCCAACAATTTCGAAATAAAATGTGTAGCGACTAGAACTTTCTTTGCTTTTGGGTGTCACATTTTCCCGTGACCCCTGGGAATTATGCAACCCACTCTGTAATACTTAAGCGTTCTTCATTATGCGTAGTTTTGTGTTTTTCATTTTTGGCCAGTGCTTGTTAGCGCTGAGAGTTCCATCTACTGGTTTCTACTGCGTTTTTTCCTTAGCTGCTTCACTGTTGTGAGCCCAGAAGTACTAATTCTAGAATTCGAGTCGCCACAGTTTTGTAAGTTTATTTTGCTCCGTTATCAGTTTTTTGTGTCGTTATATTTTGTACTTCAATATTTTTGTCTCGTTTATTTTTCAGTTGAATCACATCACACACACACATACATCACACACCCACGATCACTTCTGTTTCTCTCGTGTTTACGCCCAGTATAATTAAACTTGTGCATTCAAACTGTGACTTCTGTAGCGCTTACTAGACTTACAAAATGAATTGTCGAATTTTTCACAACCATTAAATGCGAGCGCCCGAATCACCTTTCGAAAGTTACAAGTCAAAACGAATTTCGTTTTTCGCCAATTTAATTTTT